CAACCAGCACCAGCCTAGCCTTCACCCTTTTTTTTTTTGTTCTTTTGTTTTCTTATATATATATATATAATTTTGTTAGAAATTAACTATATATCTACACGCATAATATCAATTATTTTTTTATTTATTTTTTCATATTCTAATTTAAAAAAAAAAAAATAAGTTATATAATGTTTTGAAAGAATCTTTCAATTATTCAAATATAAATTTTTATGCTAATATTATTAAATATTTTGTTAATAAATATATAAAAATCAAACATTTTCACTCAATATATAAATTCGATTTACATTAATCATAAAAAATAAAACTTCTAATCGTACTCTACCATACGAATCGTTAACCCTACATATGTAACGATTATTTGACCGCGATATAGCGCGGGTATCTAACTAAAATAAGTGGGTTTTTTTTTAATATTTTTCTATTTATTCTTTATATTCTAAATTAGTTATATATATATATATATATATAATTTTGTTAGAAATTAAATATATATCCGCACAAATAATATTAATTTTTTTTTCATATTCTAAAAAAAACAATTTAAATAAAATAAGTTAGATAATGTTTTGAAAGAACCTCCCAATTATTCAAACGCAAATTTTTGTGTTAATATTATTAAAAATATTTTGTTAATAAATATATACAAATCAAACAATTTCGCTTAATATATAAATTTGATTTACATTAATCATCGAAATAAAATTTCTAATCGTACTCTATCATACGAATCGTTAACCCTACATATGTAACGATTATTTAACCGCAGATGTAGCGCGGGTATTTAACTAGTACTAACTATAAAGAATTGGTTGGAAAAAGTGAGATAAAAAAATAAAAATAAAAATGGAAAAGTAGCCTTTCATGTTTAGCTTGCAGTAATTTGGGATGCAATAGCTAAAAATTTTGCACATGAACAAATGAAATACGGATATAAATATTGGATACAACATGATATATATACAACAATTTTTAAAAGTTTAGGATACTTTACGTGAGGATATATCAAATTTTTAAATATTTTACTTGTATGTTATAAAAAAAATTAAAAATCAATATAATCAATAATACGGATATGAGAATGTTTTTGTAATTTCCGTGCTTCTTTGGGAAAAAAAAAATTAAGAACTCAATGTTGAGTATAGAAATTAACTTCCATGTCATATGTACGTATATTTTCACAATCCAATCATTAGGGAAAAAAAAACACACACACACACTTCATGTGTTAATTCGCATGCAGGGTACATTTGGGTAAAAAGTTATGGCGGTTTTTGGAGCTTTTGACTTCTAAAGCCACCGGATTCTGTTTGGTTAGAAATCGCTTTTATTATGATAAAAGAGCTAGAAGTTGAGAAACTCCAAAGGAGCTTTCCAACTATGCTGGTAGCTTTTTAAAACATTTACTCTGTAATTTTAAAATCTATTAATTTAAACATGTTTTCTAATATACATTTTATCAAATGCCATTTTTTTCGGCTACAAATACTGCTACAACTCCGATCTATTCTCATTATCAAACACACACTTAAATTGTTATTACAGCTATATCTGTGACAATAGTTATAGTTGTGGTTGTAATTAGATATAAAAGTTTTTGGTTAACATTTACAATTTACACTACTGTTAGCAATCATATGACAAAAAAATACACATATTATTTTGATTTTGATTTAATATTTTAAAGTGATAGTTAAGAAGTTAATTTCTTGTTTATCATGTTTGATATTAGATCAAAATGCATTAGCAAAAAAATATTGTGTTATATCATATGTAAAATATTAATGTAATATGTCATCATCCTATTTTTACCTCGTAAAAATAGGAAAAATAATCAAAATAATTAAAAAATAAAAGTAGAAATGAGCCTAGATCACTCATTGGGTTAGGCCTGATTAATAATAAAAGAAGAAGAAGAAGAAGAAAAAAGAAAAAAAAAAAAAAAAGAAGAAGAAGAAGAAGGTCCTGAGTTAGCCCTAAAAGCACCTCTATAAACACTATGCATACACGCACATACAAAAAGGAGACACAGACACTGCCACCTCGAAAAAAACCTAATAGCCCAGAGAAAAAGGCCAAAGATAGCAATCGAAGTTCGCAGCACAGGAGCTCTTTCTCTAGTCATTAGAATCAGACAAGCCGCATGCCTCTGTGATCGAAAGAAAGAGTCAAAGCCAACGCCATCGTTTCGCCACCCATCTGACGGTTCGCTCTCTTTCATGCTTGCGAGTGTGCTAGACGATGCATGTAGCATGCGCCACTCGCGTCAGGTCTGTCTTCCTTTCCCTTGTTTTGCTTGTGTCCAATTCAGTCCCCTGAACTTATGATTTTGTAATTATACCCAGGCACTTCAATATTTTTTTTATTTAATGTTCATTCAATTTTTTTAGATTGCATAATTATATTATTGATTTATAATCTGTAATATCAATTATGTGATTAACATATGATTGTGATGATTAATTAAATTAAAATTATTTAATTTGGGTTTAATTGAAAAGATTTGAATTGAGAGTTATTGATGTTATTTGACAAATTTAAAAGGATTCAAATTCAAATTTTTTGATATGTATGTGTGATTTTACTTGGATAGAGAATATTTAGTATTTTTTTAGGATTTGTCTTATTTTTATTTTTAATATATATTTATTGTTATTATTATTTCAAAAAATAAGGGGTTTAGGGGTTGATATATTGCATTTTATTTTTATTTTTCATATAAAAAGTTCTTAAGGAACTGTCGGTCATTGATGAAGCTAGCAATAGGCTAGCAAGTTTTTTAGAAAACTAAAATAAGCAAAATTTGAATTTATAGGCTAAGGATCTTGTGGAGGCCTATTAGCTATTTTATTTTTTGTGAAGTTGTTTTTATGTGATCTGTGATTTTTATATTTTTTTATGTCTTGCCCTATGTGTTGTTTATTTTATGTGATACCAGTCTTGGTCGGTCTAGATGGAGTATATTTAAGACTTGAGATCAACTTTGTTTCAATGACAAGCCTTTTCTTGTTACTTTATTTTATTTTTATTTTTCTTGCTATTGTTTATAGTTAATTGTAATTTATTTTTATGGTGCTACTAATTTCTTCTTCTTGCAAATTTAGCTCTTAATTTTCCCTTTGACCTAATTTAATATTTTAAGATAGTGTGACATGGTGATATGAGCTTGAGGCCTATGTATATTTTTTACATTATTATGGACTTGTAATTATTTTTATTTCATGGTTTGACGAGTGATTCCGAGCCCATGATCCATATTCATTTTATTCTTTATTTTTTTATTATTTTATGGTTTTTTGTGGGATTAGGGTTTAATTTGCAATGGGCTTTAAGCCTTATCTTCCTAAATGGGTTCCAATGGTCCAATGATATTGTAGGTGAGATACCGAGTTTTCTTTTAATCTCTAAATCATCTCTTAGAATTGGTCGAAAAGGGCCAAGTATATAATCGAATACGCAAATCGGGATAAAAAGATAATTTGCATAGATGAATTCTCCTAAACTGGAAATACGGGATAACCTCATTGCAAATGCATACTAGGATGAGTGTAGTCTTTTTCGGTTGTGTAATCAACCTTTTTATTTAGAACTCTTAAAACTAGTGTTGGGTTTTTCTTAGTTTTTACTTTTTGAAACTGAATGGCAACTCCACACATGTACATTATTATTTTTTGTGATTGCTGAGAGATCACCGTGTGACATAATATATCATACCCGTATGTTACATCATACGATATCTATTACCATAAAGATTTTTTTTTTTTTTTGTAATTATATACAAAGAAAACTAATAAGGTTAGAATTATATAGTCGACCATAATAATATTTTTTTTTGGTTAAATGGGAAAACCTTCTTTGAATTTTAATTTATTTGAAAAATTAGTTTTTGAACTTGTAATTTGAATTTGATCTATTCATAATTTTTTTTTATATAGATTTAATCCATCCCGTGGTTTTTAACTATCATTTTTCTTTATAAAGAAAATTAACTCTTGGTGTTTTTAGTCGACATTTTTTTCACATGTTGGAAAAAGTTCAATTCATTTTTTGAAAAAAAAAGAATTTGTTAAGGTCAGAAAGTACATTTTTATTTTATTTTATGAACACATAAAAATATAAAAAATTAGGGAAAAAAAACCCATAATGATTCTAAATTTTTTAATAGTTCCGGATAAATTTTACTAAATGATTTTCATTATAAAATTATGTATGTGACCATTATTTTTAATAAAAATCTAAAAAATAGATTAAATTTTATAAAAAATAAAGTTGAAGAGAAATCAAATTCAAATTTAAAAGTTCATGAAGTGATTTTCAAATAGACTAAAATTTAAAGAAAATTGATGGATCAATATCCTCCCCTTTTGTTATTTAATAGATCAATTTTTCAATTTATCTCTAAAAAAATATCTTTAATCTTTTTTTATATTTTAAGTTGATTTCTAATATATCATTTTAGATAAAAAAAATCTAATTAAATTAAACTAAATTAAGCACATGATATGCAATTTAATAAAATTATTTTTATTGTTTGACACAAATGATTTATATCTATTAATATGAAGATTAATTTTTTAAAAAATTAGTTGGAAATTTTGACCATAAAAATAAATTAAAAACAATTTCAAACTATAAGGACAAATCTAAAGAACAAATTAGGAAATTAACCCAAAATGGATCTACTAGCCATATTTTTTATAAGCGTAGTTTTCCCCCAAATGGATCTGTGACGTGTGAACGCATACAGACAGAATAAGGGCGAGGTTCAGGTCAGGCATCACGAGGAAACTATGGTTGGTCCAGCTCATGACGAGGACACGCGTAAGAGAACTGCATGATCTTAGACAAGAATGGACAGGAGGGCCCCGTCGCTCGTGTCCACGCTGGAAGCCAAAACGCGAAACCTACAGTGAGCAGCACCTATCTCTGTTAACTGCTTATCAGATCCCTTCTGCCAATTTTGATTGGGACATTGGAAGCTTCGTCGTCAACTTGATCTATGCATGAACACTTGGGTGTTTTAACCCAAATTCTAGCCCTCTGTAACCCGAAAGGGTGGGATGAGATTTGCTCTCTTTTTTCATTTTTCGAGCTAGAAGATTAAGATTAGTATTTATACAAGTTTATTTCTCTAAATATATACATTAACTAGATTAATTGATAAAGAGCATGCCTTTAAAATCATTTAAAAAAGATTTAGTTTTAATTTATTTGGCATAAGATCCAAAAAAAAAAAAATAGAAAGATGATAAGAAAATGAATTCATTATAAAATAAATTGAAACGAATATAAGAAATAACAAATCTAAATAATTATTTTAATCTTTATAAAATATTTATATGTAAACTAATTGAACAATCAAACTCATTTATACGATATCAAGTTTATTTATATGTTTTAACATTAAGAAGAGAATTTAAAAAAAATCATAAATTATTAAAAAATATATAAATAATTAAATAAATTATATTATTTTTTTAATTTTTTATATTAAACGATGAATTGAATCGGACGAGTAATGAAAATATAAAATAATTATGAAAAATAATATTTCATAACAGCTACGTATATACCGTATTTTTTGATATGTTTGTTCTTGGAATCAAATCATAGTCTGTTTCCCCAATCTTCACTCAATTTTTTTTTTTTAACATTTTTATTTTCATTCTTTCTTTCTTTTATCAGCTAGCCGCCCCCCTTCACTTTCATTGATGAGCTGCAAATCGAGTACCCCTTTTCCGTACTTATCTGTCTTTAACAGGAACCGTGTCCGACCTGGCAACTCGTAACCAACTTGGATTAATTTCTGCTTGTTTAAGAACCCAACTTAGGTACGTAATAATCCACAACAACTGCTCGGTATATACAATTTGTCTTTTTGTTAGTAATGGAGCAAAGTTGTAGCATGTCACAGGATGTGTATGGACGGCGTTTGATGAGGACTTTCTTAAAGATGTAGAAGCTCCATGAGTATTCACAATCTTCCCAAGATTGTCTCCACTTTGATACCTAGTCAAGATGAAAGGTCTCAAAAAGGACATGTATCTTCTGTAGAATCTACCACAAGCCCATGACATGATTAAAAAATGGCAACTGTTACACAAAGCGATAACAAAATCAACCTTATACGGGTTCCTCATCATCGCAAAGTGAGGTCTTAATCAATTAATTAATTAATGATGTTGTAGCTATAGAGTAATTGATTATCATATGCACTACTAAACCTTTTTTTATTTTTATTTTTTTTAGAAGAACCATCTCAATACCTTAAAAGCATACAATTAAATCATTTTGAAAAAAAAATCTCATAAATATTTTCTAAAACAAATTTTAAACGGCCGATAAAAATTTCGAAAAACAAGAAATTCACACATTTAGAGAATGAGTATAATTAACTAACCAATCAATATATACCGATAAATAGAGATGGTTAATTAGCTATAAGATGATAATAAATGATCTTTATTAAATAGAAGGTCAATAATCACTTTAGAATCAACTTCAAGATGGATCTTATTGAATCCATTATTCCAGGTTAACTCGAAACCACTTTTCATAGCTTAATCAATAAGTTTTAGCTTAAATTAATTTTACAATGTAATCATCTGAGGTTCGAAGATCAATTAATTGTTGCTTAAGAATTAATTTTGTTATACATTACAAGAATAAGAACAAAGAGAGGCAGAATCAAAGTCCCACCTTAATTATTCTAAAAAAAGAAGTATTAATTTGCTTAATCATTAATTCTCTTTATTATTATTATTATTTTTGTCTCCACATATTTGTCTAATTCCATTTTTAAAACCTGGTGTTTCAATATTTTCTGATGAAGTCGTAAAACTTCAGAAGAAGCAAAAGGGTTGTAGAGTACGATAGAAGAGATCTTCAACCCTAAGTTCCAGGCCTGCTTATGTAAATTATCTATTCCATTGCCACCAATTGCTTTAGATAATGATTAAGAGATAAGCATTGTTGATATTAATGGGTTATTGCTGGACAGACATAATAGTATCATAACTGTTACCTTTGAATAAAAGTAACTTAGGATGTTTATACTTAATGAATGTACTATTTGTTGATCTAAGATGCGAGGGAGCTCGAACTCTTAAGTCCTGCTCCAAATAGACGAAACGCGAGTAGTCGTCCTTTCTTGACAACTCTGTCTGCTTACGCCCAGACTATGCCCGTTCATCCGGATTCAGCCCGAGCATGGAAATGGGCCACAATCCTTCCACTTATCCAGCTGTCGTCCTTCAAAAAAAAAAAAACAAAAGAAGAAGAAGATTAAAGCCCAAGATTGAGAAAGTACCGAACCCTGGAGAAAATTTTCCAGCAAGTCTCAAATCATCGTAGGGAAGGAGTCTGTGGGCCTCTATTAATTGGAATATCCTGATCCACGCATTTCCTCTTCACTGCGAGCTCGAGGAAGCTGCAGAGAAAAAAACTAAATAAAATTGTCCATTTCTGTCTTTTTCCTTTTTTTTAATTATCTTTTTTATTTAGTTATAAATAGTGTCATATTTTCAGATCAGGTTTTTCATTAATTGAGATTAGATTCACAATTTTTTGAATTGAATAAACATTAGATTACGATTATTGTTTGAGTCCAATTTTATCTTCGTCTTTTTTAAAAATCTTCTCTTTGAACATAACTGTGTCGAACCGCCTTGAAATCTTGTTGACTTTAGATTATTTTATTTTTTTTCTAAAGGGTAAAGCCTAAGATTGAAAATATACCAAACGCTAGAGACATCTCCCAAGCCAGGACCAGCTTATAGTCCTGTATCTTATTCAAGAGAGAGGGTTTAGTGAGAAATTTTATTCCTATTTTATTAAGATTTGATCATTACATATACTTGGTATCAAATTATATAATTAATTTGAATCCTAAATTATTGATTTTTAGATAAAATTGATTCAATTTTTTAATTGTCATTATCCGTAACGATCAATTGTATTGAACGTTAGTTGGAATACTAAAATGACGTCATTTTGATATTCCATTGTTACTTATGTGTTTTTTTTTTAAAAAAAAACAACATTCAAAAAATATTTTTACTCCTCCAAATCTTTAATTTTTTTTTTACCTTTTTTTCTTATAAAATATTATATATTTTATAAATTATATATATATATAAATATTTTATAAATATTTTTAATCCCCCTAATTTTGAACTTTTTTAAAATTTTTTTTATAAAAAATATTTTTTTATATAATTTATAATTTTTAAAATTAGGGGGTTGACCCTTAATTATGCTTATTTTAATTTATAAAATGTTTGTTTAAAGGCTCTAAATTATTTATTGTTAATTATGTTTTTTTACAATAATTTTTGTAAAATGTTTATAATATCCAATGAGCATTAAAATATTTATAATATAAATTATAATTTTTTATATATTACAATGAATATAATTAATTGTTTACCCTCCTAATTTTATAAATTATATAAAAAAACATTTTTTTAAACAAAGTTTAAAAAGGGTCAATATCGAGAGGGTTAAAAAAATATATTTAAAAAAAAACATAATTAATAATGGAATATCAAAACGGCATCGTTTTGATATTTTCGATAACCGTCAAGCTAATTGATCGTTATATATAATGAAAATTAAAAATTTTTGATAAACTTTACTCAAAACCAATAATTTAGGATTTAAATCACGTAATTTGATATTAAAAGTTTGAAATTATTAAATCGTAACAAAATGGAGGTAAATTTGCCATTAAACTTCGAAGAGAGTGTGAGTGCCTCCCTTACTTAGATTCCATGCACCTCATGATCTTCATTGCCACAAGCTACTTTGAGACAATTACCAACAAAGTGGTAGAAATTAGATCATACCTTCTAAGAAAGGCCGTTGGAGTGAGACACAGACAACAACATGGTAGGTGATTCCAAAAGGTAAATCAAAATTTTAACTTCAAAACCATGAAAACCTCATCGATATACTACACATTTTTGATACGAAAGAAAGATAAATTAAGTTGGTGATTTTATAGAGTCACGAGATGATTACCAATATAATAGCAATAAGGAAGTGCAGAAGCGGCTATATAATATGCTTCCTTTCTCTTAAATTTTTCACTTCAATGTTACCTCCAGTATATATATTCCTAGCTTTTTTTTTTTTTAATTATAACTCACACAACCAATGCACATACTCAAAACTCTTAATAAAATTAATTTATTAGGATTTAAATTCGTAATCTCTTGTAAAAAACTACTATTGTTAGATTGCAATCTTTTGATATATATGTTCCTATTAGCATTGGATTTATGAACTTGGGATTTGAATTTAATACCCCACCTTTCTTATTTCATACGAATACCACGAAATATTACAAGCTTATTGATATATATTTATAAAATTTGGGATGTTAAAATTGTTTTATATACATAAACAAAAGCACACGCCAAAAATTTATTGCTTATGTCAACAGAAATACACACATATAGTTTAATTGATTGATAGTATCTTCTGCTAATTTTTACACCAAAATTAGAATCTATTTTTTTTCGTTCCATGGTATAAAATTAAACGGTTTTTTCCTTACATCTTGGTCCAAAATTTGAATCAAAGTTAAAAATAACTATGAAACCAATATTGATCAGTCATTTATAAATATTCAAATAATTAATGATCATATGAAGTATTTAGATACGAAACTTTGACTCGACCAGAGATCATTTGCACTGGGAGGTCAAAATAAGGGTAAAACTCTCATAAAAATACATAATTAAATTCCAAAATGCAAAAGGGGAGAAATTTAAAGATAAAATCAGACAATTTTGGGACCAAAGGATCTCTTACAATGAGCAATAGCAGCCTGAATTGAGTTATCTTTAGCACATGTTTTATGATCCTGGTGATCACTTGAGAAACCTTGGTGAATTGGGGAGGATTTTGTAGAACTTGGGCAACTTTCAAATTTTCTATCTTTGCGACCAATGCCAGTACTCATTGCTTCGAAAACTCCTCTAATTGCATCCAAGTCCATCTCCAATACTCTTGACCTCTCGCCATTTCCAAAGAGATTATTCGAGTAGTTTCTGCTGCTACTGCCTTGTTCTTTTTGCACTAACCATTTGTCAAAGGGCTTCATTAGCTTCTGATATGTCCCAACTTTTTTCTTTTCTGGGGGGATGTTAATTACTTGGCAAGACTTCATAAATGATGCGAGCAAATTCCGAATCTTCAAGGTTCGAAATTTGACCAAGAACTTCATCATTATGCCATTGCTGTTTATTGCAGATGCCTTTGATCCTTTCATTGTACTGTGATAGAATTGAAACAGGAATTCAACTTGGCAAGTCAGTGATTATTATATCACATGCATATAGTCATCATATGTAGATAAATCTAAATTATTTGATAATACAATCTGTACTTATGCACCTTACATTAGTTTCACGTGTTTTAGTCCATTCAGATTGGTTTTAAAATTGAATGAAAGTTAACACATAGGTTATTTGATATCATTTTGTTTTTTATTTTTTATTTTTGTTTTCAAAATTTTAAATTAAGATATGAAAACTTGTTTGTTTTTATTTTTTATTTTTTGTTTTCCGAATTTAAAATTGACAAGAAGTTAAAAACTTTTTAAAATAAAAAAAATAGTTTTCAAGATAGATTTTTTTTTAACATATATTTTGAGAGTCAGATTGGGTTCAAAAATGAAGAAATAATTGGTGCTAAGATTCAAATCAGAATCAAGTGTAGAGATCGAGAGTTTAGAATAAGAGCAAATCTAGGACATCCTAGGTTTGGGTTAGAACTAGATTCATGACGTCCAGAGTTCAGGCTAAGACCTAGTTCAGGATGTTACAATGTGTGGTAGAGATCAGATTCAATGTATCTAGAATTTTGATTCAGACGTAGTTTGAGACATCTAGAGTTCAGACTAGGATTAGGTTTGAAGTGCCCTAGGGTTGGATTGGAACCTAGTCCTAAAGGCATAGGGTTTGGACCACGATCAGAGGTGAGGTTGAAAAATGAACTAGATCTGATGGACTCGAGTTTCGAGTTTAGGAAGTTTAGGGATAAGTTCTAATAACTCAAATATCTGATTAAAAATAAATGCACTTTTTGAAGAAAAAAAAAGTCTAGCCAAAAAAGTTTTTTAAACACCAAAACAAGACTAAAATGATAGTAAATAACCCTTAAATTTTCTAAAAACACTTATGGAGATTAGTATTTACATCTAATGTAATTTTTTTATTAACTATTTACTTTAGTAACAACATTATAAATCGATAAATTTCAGAATCACATACAACAGTTTAAGAAACTAAAGAGATAAAACTACTTTATCCTTATTATTTCCCCAATTTTGGGATTTTTAGTTTTTCCTAGTTTTTGGTTTGTTTGTTTGTCAAAAACCAATTACATCTATTGTAAAATTTTCATTAATATTTAGTTTAGTGATAAAATTACAACTTGATAAAATTCAAGAATCGAACTTAAACATTTGAGATTCTAAAGGGGCAAAACTACACTTCATCCTTGGTATTTCCCAACTATCTATCCTAATTTATTTCCTGCTTTTATTATTTTTACCCTTTGCAATAGAGGAAATAATGGGCTAAATTCAGACATGTGATTAGTCTAAAACTCAAAATCTGAAATGGACCACTCAAGGTCCATCTGCAAAAATTAGTAATCACGGGCCTTTTTGTTTTTATAAATTCTAAAATTGAACCCGGCCCTTTCTGAAAAAAAAAAAAGGCCATACTTTTTATTGCATCATTTTTATTATTTTTTTAGAAAGACCGAATGAAAATGAGAAAAATACAAGGATACCTGCTGCGTACAGGCCCCAAGTGATTGTTGTTGGCCGGACGGCCATTTTCATCACCGGCCTCAGATGATACCGTCAAACTGGGCTTTAACAGATTGAGAAAACTGTTCGCTTTAGGAAACTGCACCTTCCTTGCAATGGTCTTTTGGACTTTACAAGTAGAAGCTGCCTTGGACCCCATTTGTCCATCCCGTTGATCACTACTTTCCATGGAAGGCGAAGAAGAGCTCGTAGTGAATGCTGTTGATGATGATGTTGGAGACGAAAACTCATATACGTTGCTGGTTTTTGTGGTGGAGAGTTCTTGGAAGGGAACACAAGAAGAAAATGATATGCGTAGCTCCATTTCCTCATCGTCAGTCCAGTAATTAATATCTCCATGACCATTTTTCTGGGAGGGTTCAAGGGCTATTTCAATGTAGGATTCGTCGTCGCTTTCATCTGAGAAAATCGATTGGAATGCTGAGGAGTTGAAGTCAAAGCAGCTACTGAAGGAGAAGCTCTCTTCTAGCTCTGGATCTCTGTATGTGATATTTGCCATGTTACTAAGCTAATGCCACTAAGCCTAAAAAACCTAGAGCTGAACAGGATTTTTGAGATATTTGTCATGCATAAGATTCTTTACTTGTTTGATAATAACCTTGAATCTATAATAGAAAACAAATCAATACAGATCATAAAGATCAGAGGTTGTTGGTAGGAGGACAGGAAGGCACATGCATGGAGGCAATTAAGCTATGGTAGATTTGATTTACTCAGGAAATTTTGCTAGTTGGCTAAGCTTCAACCTTCTTGCTATTGGCTTTGGTTGAAGAGTACTGCATATCTAATATAGGCTGGTCCAAATCAGACAACGACAATGGTTATATCATCATTTGAAGAGTCAGCATTTTAGACCTTGATTTTTTAATAAATTATGTGCTAAATCTGAACGCTTAGACTTGAATTTTTTTCAAACCTCAAAATCCCTTAACATCCGTGAATCAATATTCGCTTCTTAGAAGAGCCCAACCCATCTTACGTTTACAGATTTGGTCGTGTCTGCTACCCTTATTTTTCAATGTTGTTATAGATAATGACTTCTTAACCCATCTATCAGTCCTCTTCTTCTATATAATCTATGGTATGGTCTGGTATATCTTTCATTTTTATTTATATTGAACCAAACTTGGTCCATGTGTTAGCCTTTTCAGTCTCTCCTGGCAAAACCAACACTTACTATATATATTTCAAGTCACGTAATGTTACCTAACCTTACAAGTTTCAATTTGCAAGAAACAAGTAGGCAATTACAGAGAGGAAAAAAAGTAAATCTTCAGTATTCAACATTCAAATTTCAGTATTTAATTACTGGAATTTCAATTATAATAAGCAATGTGTACTCTGATTCTCGTAATTGTTACTTACATTTTCTCAATGAAAAGTTCCCCCAATATTAGTATTGGAAAGGGGATATCTAGTATAGATCTACTCTTGGCAGCATATCATCATTTTTCATAAGAATATGAGTCTAAGATGCTGATAAAAGCTGATTTATATGCTGAAACAAGGTATCCTGTCCTCAGAAAATTTCCAAGAGTGGGTGGATCCCATGCACTCCTGGTGCTTGGTGTACAATTGTTTGAAAATGTGTAATAAAACAGAATTGAACTACCCCATTTGTTGTGGTTGTGATGTTGGAAACTTTGAGATGTCGTTTTAAACTACCTACCTATGTGGACCTACATTTTCTTATTAACTGTCTTATTTGTTCCTTAATCTAATCAAATTGTTTGGAGAAATTAATAAAATTAACGAACCCCAGAATTGAGGTAGTTCGATGACGTTTTCTAAATGAAGCTAGCATAGATGCATGGCTACATCCTGTTGTTTCATTACTGGTATCTTCTGAAATCGCTTCAGGAATTATAGTTTTTCCGTCCGAGAAATCGTAGACAAGTAGAATCGCCCCATTTTTCCTGCAGTCCTGCATTTGCTTCATGTTTTTTTCTGGAAGCATAAGCAAGCAAGCACAACACAAGCACACCGATCTGGACCAATGATTTTATCTGATCTGATATAGCAACAAGCAAAGTCAAATTGAATCTTAAAGTTGAAAGGGATTTGATTTGATTTGATTATCTACTTCAAATTCATATCCATACTTCAATTTATCTTGAATGAAAAAATTCACCAAAACTTTTCTTGTGTTCCCAAGTTATTTAATAGATCAAGTTAGAACAGCCGCTCTGCCGCGTGAAGCAAATTAACAGCTTCATTTCATTTCATTTTTTCTGATTTCTGCGCCAACCTAGTTTTCTCTCTTTGATAATTATAGTCAAATTGTGCTAGGTAGAATAAAAATGTGATAAAAATATTGGATTGCTTAAAAAGAAATTGGTCAAAAATGTGAAGGTCGCTGTTGTATATCCCTTTCTTGGAATTTTTTTTTTTACGGGAATTGTATGGATGCTTAAATCTCATTCGCTGTATATTTCTGACAAAGTTGTCCTAAAGGGGAACTTAAAGCTGCATTCTGAACAGGATCCAAGCTCTGGGCAGTGAAGAAATAAAACCTGTCTGTCTCTGTACATATTGTGCTAACTATATTTTGAGAAGATGCATGAGCTAAGAGAAAATTGCTTAACAAGAATCATAGCATAGGCGTATGGAACTAAGATCACAAAGAAAAAGCAAAGATCGCGTCATGGGATCTAAAAGATAATTAAGCAGCATATATATATTTATATATATATATATATATATATATATAGAGAGAGAGAGAGAGAGAGAGAGAGAGAGTGCAAATCCTGAAACATCAAAATCAACCATGATAACATTTATAAACATGAAGTCTGAACATCATCAGTACAACATTACAATGATTGAATCACATTTCTATGTTCATGCATAAGGAAACCATGAAACTAATTAACAACCACAGAAAAGAAAAGAAAGAAAAAGGAAGAAGAAAAACGAAGAAGAAGTAGAGGGAGAAATAAGATTACGAGGGTCAGTTATCAAGAACTCCTAACAAGAACACTCCTCATCATGTCCTTAAATTCAAAGAAATCAACCCGACCATCATGGTTTCGGTCAACAGAGATGATCATCTGGTGAATTCTGTCAATCTCTGTGGCTTCAGGGAGCCCCAACTTCCTCAAGACCACTTGCAATTCATGTGCTGATATGTAACCATCCCCATCCTCGTCGAAAACCTTGAATGCCTCTGACAAATCAGATTCCTCTTGTGCCATCCTAGCCCGATCTCCATCATCATTCGCAGCCGCCTCCTCCTCCGACGCATTATCATCGTAACCGAAGAAACTGTTGTCCAATGATTGATGAAGGGAGACAAAATCTTCAAAAGAAAGGCCAAGGTCATCGGGCTTCAAGTGGGATTTGATTGTGAATTCAAGCTCGGAGAAGTCAGCGTCGAGGCCAAGAAGGCTGAGTGCTTGACTAATTTCCTGGATGGTGATCATTCCATCGCCATTCTTGTCGAAAATATCAAAAATGCGGCGGAGGCGAAGGGAATTGAGACTGGGGCAACGGAGACTAAAGGAGGATGTTCTCTTGTGCCCCGTAGATGCATAGGTTGCTGCTGCTTCCATGGCTTGTTTTATATATTATTGGGTTGCTTCTGTTGCAGCAGCAGAAACTGGGAGGGCCTGAGGCCGGGAGGATTGACGAGGATAAGCTCAACTGGTTCGCTACTGAAGGATTTATTGTATCGTGATTGTGTTATAAAAATGGTGATGGACAAAGCGCGTTTGGCGGCGGTGAGGTTGTTTGGCCAGCCAGAAATGACTCCTGACCATTTCCTAGTACTTCAAATCCTCATAATATATACACTTTATTGCTCCTCAAGGCAAGGGGAAATTCTACCCCATTTCTAAGTCATACACTATTTTTTTGGCCAGATAGAAACCTTCGTCTTGCTTCCCATGGTTCTACTTTTATTTCTTTTATTGTATCTATATATTTCTCAAAGCATTAATTTTATTTTAATTTTTATACGAAATATAGCAAAATTTCTTAGATCGGTATATAATTTTAAATCTTTTAGTTCACTTGCAATTTTTTTTCCCCACGTAATGCCTATATATATTCCTTAGAAACATGCGTTTTTTAAACAATTATAAAAATACAAAATCATATAAACAATATCAAATGAATTTAACATGTGAGAGAAAAAAAATTGAATTAGATAAGTATGCCATATTCAATTATTGAAGATTGACAAGCACAACCACAACAAAATAATAATAATAATAATTATTATTATTATTGGCATGATAAATAAAACTTCAATGGAACTTAGTATTAATCTTTTTTTTAATTACAAGGAGGGCAAAAATGCTGGATACGTTCGTAGGGTTTTTGCAACATCACCAATATTCTCGAGAATTAAGCCTGAACAACCAACATGAGCCTTCTGGAAGTAAGTGACCTTAAGTCCAAAGAGTAAATATGAGAAGCCCGTCAATCTGTGCAACGAAAAAAATTATTTTGTATTTTATTAATTATAGAAATTGTTTGTTTTGTTAGACAATGATACTTAATAATAACCATAAAAATGAAAATTAAACTGAAATTCAAAATAATATATGCTATTTGTAATTTTGTTGATTATGGAAAATAAATCATTTAGATACTTAAAGCATAAATATTGTTTAAATAATATTTGAAAAAGAAGTGAAAACATCTTAGGAAAAAAAATCTTGAAATTCAAAATATAAATTGGAGTATAAACGCATCTTTTTTCGTGAATTCCTAAGTGTAATTTTTGCAAGAAATCTCAAGATCGAATTCCAACACAATATTATATGTACACCTTTATCACATGATAAAAGTTCCATGAAATGTGTATTCTTTTATCATGTAATAGGGATTAAAAAATAATTCAATGCATTACATTAGGGACTAAGATGAAATTATCAATGCATCTTCATCATTTCTTTCCCACCATAAAACTCTACTACTAAAATCAATAATTTATACTTATCCACATGTTACGTTTTCATTCCCATCAATTTCAAACCTTCTTTAGATAGATGCATTTCATTAACACATGTAAATTATTTAATTGCAATTAAAGTTGGATGAATATAGTTAATTGTAATTAAAGTTGGATGCATGTATGGATGATACTAGCCAATTTATCTTTTTGTTTTTGTATAAAACCCTATTAAATAACACTTTTGTGGGGCTGGATACCTTTCCTCTTTCTCTCATTTTTTTATTTATTTTCCTAATAAATCAAAATCTAGTTACTAGATCTAATATTTCAAATAATTAAGGATTTTGATTTACATGATCTAAAATATGTAGTTTATTTGATTTGTTGTCTTTAATACGTAGGGATTTCTGTTATTAATTTGTGTCGACTAAAGGTTTGTTCGAGAATTTATGGAGAATCAAAGTATGAATTTATAGATTTAAATAGAATTCAAGTGGTGCAGTTGCTGAATCTATCGATAAAAGAAAGTTTTAACGCATCAGATATTTGTTACTTTATCCATTGAGTCTGGTAGCACATCCCATTCTCTTATTGACAAATGGTGGTAGGAGATTCATAAGTTTAAGATATATATATAAACAAGTTACACTGTAAACAACATTAAAAGGAAAAACTCAAAGAGTTTATTTGAAAGTTCATGAAATGTAAACGACGAGATGCCATTCGAAAGATATTTGAATTTACGTACTTTTTTCATTATTAATAAAAATTATATTTTCTATAGAAAACTATAAGGATGATGCTGTCTAGTATATTTTAAGATAAAATTAATAAAATAAAAAAGTTTGGGGCTCATTTGACAGAAGTAATTCGCGTTAGGGGTTAGATTAAGGCTTTCGGCACTTTTGCTGCTCCTCGTGGGGTGTGATGTTGCTAAGGCCATTCTCCGAAAATTCCAAGTCACACAGCTTCATAGCATGGGATGGGAAATTTCGAAGCTATTGAGCCTTCAAATCACGAAAATGCACCTTCTGTCAGAAACACATGTGGGCTGTTGTAGTGCACACGCATTGTAAATATTCTCGTTTTCCATGGAAATTGCTTTTCTCAGGAAAAAAATGAAAAAAGTCAGCTTTTTGAGTATCCAGCAAGTTGAGTTTGGAAAATGATTTAAATTTTTTTTTATTTCAATTTTCATGATTCATTAAGCAAAGCAAACCAATGAACTGAATTTTTTTTCTTTTGGGAAGAGAGGGGGAGTTGCGTGTCTTTGAATGGTCAAACATGGTTGTGGGTCATAAAAGTAGACCATTTCATCTGACTTGGGCCAAGCACATGCGCATAGACGAAGTGGTGTTCTAGAATGAACGCAACCTCTTTCTCTCTCTCTTTTATTTGACTATCCACGACCACATAATAAATCATGTTTTTGAAGCTATGAATCACGACCTTTTCTAACTTCGTGTTCTGTTTTTGTTTTATGTATAAGATCTAATATTTTTATTTACATAATTGATTTTACATTTTGATATAAGGTTCTAATTATTATTATCATTTTTTTGAATTTTTTGAAGAATAGAAGAGATGGAGGAGAAATAAAGAAAGGGGACTTTTTTTTGGCTTTTAAGGAATAGAAAGGAGACATTTTTTAAAACAGCAAAATACTAAATTAACTCAGGGGACTTTTAATTATTTTTATACCACAAGGACTAATTCATTAATTTTGATAAATTAATGGGACTAAGTTATAATTCACTCTTGAGACAGACGTGGGTCCAAGTTCACGGTTGCAATGACCTGGAGTACTTAGCAGAACAGGAAACAAATGCAAAAGTACCAAATGACAATAATAATTATAATAGGACACGGCCGCACTAACACTGCAGCTCCTCCAAGATGTCACGTTCGCTTCCCACGCCTTCACAACTCCTTTAACTCATCTACTCAAACTCAAACTCAACTCAAACCCAACTTGCTTTTTCAGTTCAAAGATTAGGCAAGCCCTAGAAACGCGAAAACGAGTGACTGAGTGAAGGTGTAGTAACTAAACAAAAGCTGCCGTTTTGTCTTAACTTTTCTCCCCTTCAACCTGCTCCACTCGCTCTCCCTCTTGCCTCAACCGCCGCCGCAGCGCTACAAAAGTTAATACAATTTTCTGTTTCAATCCAAGTCAGGTAAGCCATTATTTCAAGAGTTCCAATTTCTAATCTCTCTCATATTTTACCCGTTTCACTGCAATTTATTCATTCATTTCTTTCTTTCTGTCTCTTATAGAAAATAACTGACTTTAGTGCATGTGAAAACATCGTTTAATGAATTATTGTTTAGGGTTTTAATTAGGATTTGTAAAGTAGTTTACTGTTTTAGTGAATTAGGGTTTTTCATTAATAGTTGTGAAGCAAGCTCTTCTTATTTAATTTTTTGGATAATTATCTAATTAGTAGTTGTCATTGTTTTTGTTTTTATTTTTTTTCCCAGATATTCTCCTTTTCTGTTAATTATTATGGATTCTGAATCTTGTGCGGACCAAACAAGCAAAACCCAAGATGAGCAGGCTATTAAGGCCGATGTTGAGCCATCTCTAGGTCCTATCACTCCTGATTCTAACAAAGAGAGTGGGGATTTTTCACTCTCTCCAATCACTTTAGTTAAAAAACTGCCCAAAGCTCTCTCCTTTACTTCTAAAACCAACAGAAACGAGGACCTTTTTGACAATTTTAGCAGCCCTCGAACACCCAAGGATGGTGTTTTTGACCCATTTGCTCCTGGTCGTGAAGACAAAGTCTTGGCTCCTCAATGTAAGAAATACTACGTTGAAGCGAGGGCCAGTGTTGCACGCCGGCTTAATTTTACTTCTTCCTTCAGAGCCTTCAGAAATGGGAGTTTTGGTGATGATGTGGAGTTCTTATCGGACGAAGAGATGTTTGAATCTGTGTATGAAAGTCTCTTGGAAGCTATTGTTTTGAAGCAAACTGAGGGTGCTCTCGAAGAAATGTCAAAATTGGAATGGGATTCTGATGATTGCACAACACCTCCCGCAGCTCCTATAGTAACTGGAGTTCCTGATACTTGTCCTGATGCTCCTCGGAAGCAAAAAGGTAAATCTAGGGTTATTGATTTGGGATTATGCAGAAAGCTTGAATTCTAAAGCTGATTCACTTGCTTATCTGATCTGCTGAGAGTAGGATGCAGTGCTGCCAACTAATTTTATAAGAATTCATTATGTATTTGTATGAAAAGCTGTTAACATATGTGTCTCTAAGTCATAACTTGTGGTCTATACAGATACTGTTTAACCAGGGATTATTTTGTCTGACCAAGATCACAGTGTAGTAGTAGCATTGTATAGGAATTCTTGACGCACATTTACTTTTGGAAATTAGCAAGTGTCCCTTTTCTTAGATTGCAACAACAAGTGTACTTTTTTATATTTCCCTACCAATGGGTGTTCATTTTATGTTGTATCTCATTATTTGACTTGTTGAAATTAATAAAAATGAATGCCTTCACTTGTCTTTGTTGGTTGGCTTTTTGTTTGACTTAAATTAACCTTGTGTTTTTTAGGCAAGATATAAAAAGAACGATGAATAGTAAATGAAGAAATGCTTCATGTTTTTGCACTTTATTTATATTAACTGGGGGGTTTGACCTGGAGACCTCGTTGCTCTTGCTGTTGCAATAGTGCCACTGAACTCTTGGCTCGTTAGTATACTTTTTTAGCACTTATGCATTAATTAGCTACTTCACTAATATACCCTTTCCGTATCTTTCAACTTTCGTATGGTTTTGGCATTTTGTGCTCCACAAGAAATTACTACCATTTGCTTTACATATTTACTTTATCAATTGCATTACATTGGATGGAGAGATCAATGTGTACCTATTCTGCATAGTCCTGCATCTAGAGCTTTATCTTTAGAACGATTTTGGCATTTTGTGCTCTGCAATAAATGAATGAGATCCAGTTTTTGATCAACTTTCCTGATTTCTCGAAGTAGTTATGAAATTGCATCAGAATGTTAGAAAGTAGGAAACACATATTGTAATATGTTGCTAGGTACTTTCATAGTGACTGCGATATCCTTCTACATTTTTGTATTTCACCAATTTAGGCTTTCGCCTCTTCAGAGAATGAACTTTGCTGAAACAAGGCAGTATTTAAAATGGAATGAGATAGGAGTACTTATTTCTGATCAAGTATGAATTATTGGGATAAAGTCTTGGAGATATAAATTTTTGTGATTGAATAGGTAAGTTTGCATGCTAATAATAATTGCTAGATACTAACTTCAAACTGCTCATATGTTAAGTTGATAATGAGTTTGAAACTCTATTGATTCTGGAAAGTAGCTGGCGATGTGCGTGATTTTTGAGTTGTCTTTGCACATGGATATGTACCTTTGCCAAGTTTTTTTTCTTTTGGCCAAGCGGGATATTCATTGTTGAGGGAATGTTGGGATCTGTTTGTAGTTTTTCTCCCCCTGATATGTTGTGATTGGGTAGTGATGTGGCCCTGGAAAATTGCAAAAAAGAAAGAGAAGGATTCGTTGGTTGATCTCTACTCTATGGGTTTGATTTCTTTCACTTGACTGGTAGATTCTCTATCGGGGTTGAAAGTAAATGTTGAAGTAATGGAACATTGTATATGTTGCGCATGTCCTCGTTATAGGGAATCCAGGTTAAGATTTTCAATTGAAACCTGATCTGTAGGTATTTAGAGTCTGAAACTAAAAGGGATATGGACAGTATTCGAAACACTAATCGGTTTCTTTTGGATCTGTATTGAAAGCATTGACTGACTGTACAGGAGCCGAAGTGTTTTTATCGCAACAACCTATACTTTTTCAATAACAAAAATTTATAATTTTTTGTGTAAATTTCACCTTGATTTACAAACTTGTTCTGTGATATACATTTTTCTGACCAAGTCTTTGATAACAATTTTGCCGAATATGTGGCTACCGAATTGAAGTTTAGCAATCAGAGAAGATTCTTTTTCCCTTTAAAAAATTTTCCCGGAGCCACATACACAGCTGCACCATGTTTGTAGAGCATCAGAACCGCTACAAAAAGTGGCAGTTAATTTCAGGCTTCAACTTTTAGGCCCAGATAGAATGCATTCAATTCATACGGCTGGGCTTGGTGGGGCTTTGCACAGGGATTGTGCAATGTTTGGAGATGGTACTAATTACGAGCTGTTAGTAGCAAAAATGACAAAAAATAAAATAAAATAAAAAAATGTAGTAATAGTTTGCAGATACTTATGTATTATAATATACAGAAGTTTTTATAGTCTCTCCTCTCTACTCTCCAAAAGTGGCTGAGAAAAGACACTCAAAATCTACACAGTACTATAAAATAATGGATTTGGATCCTCTAAATGAGTTAAAACTGGTTGAACAGAAAAACTAATTGACCCGCTCGCTTGCTTCCTGATTCCTGTGTATATGGCGCGGCAAGCAAAACTGAAGAAGCATGGCAGGGATGCATGCTCCAGTCCAAACTAGAGTAGATTTAATCAAAACTTAGTTTTGCTCTTGCATTCCTGGCTTTGAATCTTCAAGGAAGGAATAGCAACAGTGAATCGGCAATCAGAAGTAGCAACAGCATGCTTTTTGAATATCTTCAGGAAGGTGACCCTGCCTGGAATTCTCGTGCGTGTTTCCATAACAAGCTGTCCGCCTAGAATATCACTGATTAAAGTTGACATATGAGTTGCCATCTCATCTGCCTCTATGGTAAGCCGGGAAGGAAGTGTCTCGGTCCCCTTAGACGGTATTAGGCCTGAGTACAGGTCAGCTTCTCCCACCTGGTCTCCTCGATATAGAAGGTAGCTATTCCCAGGGCCATGCTTGAAACTGGCATGGTTAGGATTCTTGACGAGCAACGTTAGGTTGAGGGTGATGTTAAGTTTGATGTCAAGAACAGGGAATGAGATGCGAGGAGAGATGCCTTCGAGCGTAGCTGATAGCAGCTCGGTTCTAGGCTCTTTAGGCTTGAAAACTGTCAACGCTAGGATGAGAACAGTAATGAATAGCAGTAACAGCAAGAAGAGAATTACCCCACCAACAATGAAACACCTTCTTCTTCTGGCTTTAGGACCAAGTCCTTGGTCGTTAGTTTCTGTCATTGATTCCTAGATGATTTGGCTAATTGTTGAGATTTTGAAAGAGGACAAGGGATATAGCCATATAGGGGGTCCAAAGAGTTATACAGGCCTCAAACAGGACTGGTGGGAAGGAGGAGGTATAAATGCATTGATGTGCCAGCTATCTAACCAGATTAATACTGTTTGATTAAAGATTTGCACTGGGTGTTGGGGGTTGGGAGCTTTTATTAATCGCCACCATCACCGCCCAAGGCAATCTTTTCTTTTCCTACTACAAACACAACTTCTTTGGCTTATATTGCCTTCTCTAATCCCTACCAGATACTACATTGATCATCATTATAGAAATTTAATGGCCTCTAAATTAAGTGTGCCCCCATTTAGTTACCAGTTTAATTTGTTTTGTTTTCACACCATAACCCATATACGATACGGTTATCACACGCAAACATTAAGGGAATCAAACAAGTTAAGAAAGGAGATCTTGTCTCTTGACACCAGTAAAGGCAGCAGTAATTGTGTTCTTTTCACGAGATTATTAATTGTTGGTTACATGTAAGAATCAAACAAGATATAGTCGGAGTGGTATCTTCGGTCCAACTTTTGCGTATCAAAGACTAAGTTCGCCTTGATGGTTCAATCAAATAAGGTGGAACATTTTTGTTCCATTCTATGAGTCCAGTCCACGACTTGTTGCTGGTCATGATGCTTTTGTTCTAGTTTTAGTCCCTTCATCATCCTTCAGGGAATGACTTCAGAAGAAGGGCCCCTCTATAGGAGCCCTTGCTTGATGATGAAGTGAAAGAACCAAATAAGTTTTAATTCCAACTTAAATAAGGTAGTAAAGAGTTATGGCCCTTGAAGGCCGGAGGATGTCTCAAAGATGAACAGTTTACACATGGGAATGATCTCAGCAGAAGGGTTTTACTATGTAATCATATGCTTTTATGAACATGGCCAATTCGGCTCCCAACCAACTCTTAATTGGCAATGGCTTAATGTGAACAATATGTCTAGGCTCCTTAGCAGACGTATGCCTACAGAATAAATGTTGATTGGGTCAATCCTTTGTTCTGAAATCTGAACAAACACGCAAAGAGCATGACTTGGTGACGCTTGCTCACTAATTGTTGGTGATGAAAAGCATTGGCTGAGTAATATAGCAGCATGGAATAACTGGGTTTTCAATTCATTCACACTGAATTATTTATGAGTTTTATACCCAAAACCAAGGGAATGGCGAAGGCTGATGAAAAAAATATGTTTTACAACTTTGGGATGAAAATGCCAGGAAGATGGCTCTTTTGCAAGACAAAATAAATAAATAAATAAATAATGTCAGCTTAAGGGGATTAGATTGCATTCGGATTAGTGCTTCTCCTATCTAAAGAAATTAAATTAAGTGCCATCAACATAAATTACTTGTTGCAAGCATTTTCTGAGCCTTCGTTTGCATAGAAATGCTTGATATCTTTTGCAGTGGAATTGACTAACTAATACCTCTGAAGTTCCATTTATCTCAATGGTAAATCATAGTGCAACAATTTATACACAGAATTTACCAAGACTGATTTGATCTTAATATCATCTTGTAAAAAATGTAAATCAGAAGTCTCAGGAGTAGTCTGTTTCATTACTACCCGGTTTTGCAATAGACAGCACCAGACTAACTAATCACAGTTTCATTTTCTGAAAGGCAAATCACAATGAACTGATAATACTAAGGAAATTACACTAATTCATTTGATTTCGATATCCTGCTATCACCAGCAAAATGTTCAACTCAGCTGTAAAGAGACAAACATGAGTGTAACTAATTTGGGCCGAGCAACTGGAGCCTTTAAGATACTAAACAATCCATCAGCTCTCTCTTGACCTTATGTTTCAATTTCTTCTTCTTCTTCTTTTAATTAATTCACTTGGTTGGTTGCCACTCTTTCCATCAGAAATGGTGAAAGTCTAATAAACATGGTACAACCAGGCATCCTTACCTCTTTTAATTAATTCACTTGGTTGGTTGCCACTCTTTCCATCAGAAATGGTGAAAGTCTAATAAACATGGTACAACCAGGCATCCTTACCGAGTGAAACAAAATTGAGTTGACTAGAATGCTATATTTGAACCCTTAAGAATGAATTATATTGCAAGTGGTGTCCAGGGACAACATTTTGCAATAGAAAAGCAAAAGGTGTTAGCATGAAATTATATCAGAGGCAGTGATATCAGAAAGCAACTTGAAGAAGAGTTTGCTTCAATTAGCACAGGATTTACAATAAGTGAGAAATCTTGAAGCTTTGCAAGTTATCAATCCACACAAAATACCAATTGGGAAAAAAAAAACCATGAACAAGGCTTCTCCAGAAAGCTGCAGATAGGTGTGACTGTGAAAAGAAATGCAATTGCTTTCAACACTTGGCCATAAACAAACATAAAACACAATCAAGAATTATGTCTGCATCTGACCAATCCAACAGCAATCAGTATCACAATAATATGTTGCTCTATGAATGGAGAATCATCTCAATCTATCAACAAAAATTTTATTAAGTAAGAATTAGTAACACAAAGAAATAGAAAACCTACCATTATAATCTAAAATAAGAAACAAGAGAGAAGAGAGAAAGAACAAAAGCGGTCCTACAATTTTGTCTTATACTTGCATTTTTGATCCCCAACGGTTCTATTAGAAACAAAAACAACAAGATCACAACTAGTGGTAGAAATAACACGTACTTTAAACAGATTAAAAAGGCTAACTTTTGCATGAATCTTGGTCAAAGTATTGAGGGGGATAGCACCAGCCGTGACATCAGAAAAAAATTGTGAATCAGACAACAACCGATCTGCCATAAGTGTGAGAGTTATGTTCATGGGTTTTGTTTTGTCTGCTAAAATCTTACCTCCAGGAATTGGAGCTTCACCAACAACTTGACCTTTATAATTCAAGAAAGCAGAGCTGTTCTTGTACTTGGCACTCACTTTGTTTGGATTCTTGATTGAGAGATCCACATCCAGACTGATGTTTATGTCCACTCTCATCCTGGCTATGTCTAAAGAAACCTTCAGGTCACTTATGGAGGTGGAATCCACGGTGGTTGTCGTTTGTTTGGGCTTGAACACCGTTAATCCTAAGATCAGCAAAACCACAAAGATAAGAAGGATCACAGCTGCTGTTACCCCTAAACAAACGTTTCTGCGTTTGTGTTTCATTGGAGATGCAGCTTTCATTGCAGCGGCCTTTGATGATTCCACATCCATCTTGCGTTTTTCTTTCTAAATTTCTCTGTTTGTTTCCTCGCGTTTTGGTTTTGTAATTTCAAGGTGGTAATGGTATGTCAATTTATAGTTACAAAAGGTTTTTTTTTTTTTTTAAGTATAAAAGGGACATGACTCATATGAGTTACTATTTTATTATTATTATTATTTGTTTTGTTTTATATAGCTAAATGTCTAAAATAATAGACTAATAATAGTTTAAAAAATCAAATATAGATTTGATGGATGCATCGTCATAAGTTGACGCATTGCGACTTTTTGGCTCAATTTTTGTGGATTTTTTTTTTTTTTTTTTTCATATTTCTTTAGATAAGCAACTTCATAGTTGGTTCTAAATTTTGGCTATATGCTATTTGTTTGACGATCATATCTTGCAAACTTAAGTAGGATTTTTAAAAAATAAAATTTTTATTTTTGATATGAATAGTTTATTTTCAATTAAATTACAAAAAATATATAAAACCGAATAAGAACATCATTTATTAAGAAAACCAACAAAAAAACGTTTTGGTATTTAATACTAAAAGCAATAATATAAACCCTGTATAGTATTTATCTATGGTTAATCAAGTAGGGCAGGAGTTAGAGATTTGAGACCACAATTGTAGCTAAGCCAAGCTATACTCTTCAAATACCTACTTCCATTCTTTGATTACAATTTTGAGCCTAATAATTAATAATGGGTTTACTTTACGTTTAGACTTTATATTTTTTGATTTTTTTATTAATTTTTTTTTAATTCAATTGAAATTTTTTAGTTTTTGAATTTTTTTATTTTAAATCCTTCGTTATAACATTATCGATCAGTAATCAATACTTTTTAAAGATTTGTGACATCGTATCGTAGAGTTTAAAACAAAAAAAAATCTCGAAAAGCAAATAATTACAATCAAATAAAAAAAAGATTTTAATTAAAAAATAAAAAAAATATAGGATTTAAATACCAAGAAAACTCAATCAATTGATAACAAGAGTACACGGAAACATTACTGTGAGTTTACCATCTGAAGCGGCAACAATGAAAGATGGAACAACAACAACAAAAATTGGGTCGTGGTTAGCATGTCTTCATCTCCACCTGTCCCTTTTCTTGGGCTTGCTAGTGTCGGTCTTGGCATCTACTTTGTGACAATCACAAAAATGCATGGTGTTTAAATTTTTACTACTAACATTTACTGTAGGGTAAATAGACTAGTGCTATATGTCATTGGTTAATTAGTTTCCATGAACATTTGCCTTATAGCATGGATGCAATGTTTTGGCCACTCCTCCTATTATTATTTTTTTCCCCCTTTTCAAGTTTATATTCATGAATTTAGCTTTGTCATAGGAAAATAAATATAACCCATTAAATTATTATGATAAATTGAAAGAGAAGCAAAGTATTCCTGCAGTGAATTAAAAGGGACAATTCGCAACTTAAAGAAAATACAACTTCGGAAACAAAATGAACAATAAGAGAAGAATATGTGCAAAAGCATGCATATCACGGGAATGGTATCTGTGCATGAGAAAAAATATAATTAAGACAATCCATTCCTGGATATGAAAGCTATCTAGTCATAGGGTCGGTCAGGTATTACGATCAAATCCGGTTTGAAATACAATTGAAAATAGAAAAAGCACTAATTTTATACTGTTTTAATATAACCATACTTTCAACTGCATTAATAATTAATAAAAGTTATTTTTAAAAAAAGGAAAGAAAAATTGTGATCTTGAATGTATGTGTTTTGTATGCACATCAAATGATGATAAGATCTACCGTGCACATATATATATATATATAACACAAAAGATTAACGATTCTCATCCTGCAAAGTGAGAAGAATAATGCTCAATGCTCTTATTTTGACTTTTTTTAAAAAAATTAAGATTAACAGCTGTGATTATTTGATCAAATTATTAATATAGTAACATCCATCTCTCACATGCTATTGGATTAGTTAGTAAAAAATATGGCTAAATGGGCTAAGCCTCTCTCGAAATTTAATTCATTTGAAAATTAATTTTTGAACATTCAACTTTGGATTTGATATTGTCTAATTTTTTTTTTTTAAGAGTCAATCCATCTTATAATTTTTAACTATCACTTTTTCTATAAAAAAATTCAATTTTTAATATTTTGAACAGAAGTTTTACGCACATGTTGAAAAAAATTCAATCCATTTTATGAAAAAAAAACCCTAGAATTTTTCAAAATAAGAAAAAAAATATATTTTTATTTTTTAAACATTAAAAATATAAAAAATCTACAAAATTTAAAAAATAACCCCGAATAATCTTTTTTTATAAACCATAGATAAATGTTATTAAATGATTTTCATCGTGAAATTATTTAAGTAAACATTATTTTTTTCAAAAAAAAAACTAAATAATAGGCTAAATTTCAAAAAAAAAAAAAAGAAAAGAAAATATAAAATTTAAAATTAAAAGTTCAAAAACCGATTTTGAAATAAATTAAGTTTTGAAAGAGTTTGACTATCTAGCAAAAAATGATTCTAACTAAATTTTTTTTTAATTCATGAGAAGTTTATGGCTTTTTGAACTACATAATAGCATATAATCTTCTTTTATTGTATAATAATAATAAAAAAACATTTAAAACCACTAAAATCCGACCCATGTTTCCTTAGAAAAAGCTAACCAAACTTTTAATATCAAACATAATGAAATATATATATATATATATATATATATATATATATATATATATATTCCTACGCACCCATATCAAACCTAAGGATTCTCATCAAAATTCAAGAAGAATCACGGGCAGGCATCTCTTTCTAGAAGCAATATATCGTGTGCAATTAGTTTGGTAATGGTGCTCAATAGTCAAACTAGACCGGCTACTGTTGTTTTCCAGTGTGCAAACTTATTAATGAGCGACGGAGTGATTGAGAACTGAAAGCCCGCCTCATAAATGTTTATCAATTTCCATTTTACCACAGTCAATCCTCATTTACTTCATCCGTTCATATCTATTAAGAAATTACCGCTAATATGTAATACTTGTTTATTTTCCGTGTAAAAGGCGGTAAGTTTAACTTCTCGGTCATATTAATCTTCTATCGAGTATTAATTCGATATTGATCTCTTGCCTGGTTTTCCCTTCATCCTGACAATGATAACGGATTAGCGATCCATAACGTTCTTTTTAGTGAGTTTTGAAAATATAATTTTTGTTGCATTTTTTTTCCTTTTTCAAGAAGAGGTTCTAATAAAAACGACATAAAATTTTTATGGGCCTATTTAGTGAGTAATATATAAAGATGTTACTAATCAAAGGAATGCATTAAACAATTTGATTTGGACTTAATCAATACTTAAATTGATAGGTAAATCTGATTAATTAATTGCCTGTAATAGATAGATGGAATGAATGATTGACTCCCTAGATGCATTAAACCGATGTGAGAGTATGCGTTTAAGATTGTTTACAAAAAAGGTTTAGTCTTGATTGGCACGGAAGCTGATTCAAAAATACTTATAATGTAAGAAAAATAAAATTGTCATTGATATTTATGGAATTGTTACAAAAAAAAAAAAAAAAAAAAAGATTTTACAACATAAAATAATCTAGTATTAATTTCTTATATGATAGTTTTACGTAGGATTTTTTCTGGGTGGCAGCAAGCTCAAACTCTCCACTAATATCAATTATATTATGTTGCCTCATCCTCTGTTGTAGTGTTTGATGTATATTTAGAGTTCAGACCATCTATTGCCTGAATCGATCAAAACATTAGAATGTATGCTGAAATCTTCAAATATTAATAACATAATTATAAAAAAATTAAATTCAAGGATAAAACACAATTTATCTTCTTAATCTCATCAACAAAATCCTTTCATTTAACTATGTCGGATCTCATTACTGAGATATTGATATACTCTCCTCCTTCGGCTCATCACGAGGCTTTTCTTATTTTAAGAGAGAGGTGGCAATAAGCTTGTTGAACATTATCAAGCTCGACTAGCCTATAAGCATGAGAATGAACAAGCTTGGTTAGAGGATGCCCTTCCTGATACTGAATCTATAATAATCCTGGACGTATTTCTCATTCTTAATCATGAAGATTGAAATCTTAAGTAAGGTTCTTATTCTAGATATGGATGGTTTATATTTGATTGGATTAGAAGGGTAGATTTAGTTTTAATACATAAAAGATGGTAGCGGATACCTCTAATTATAATACCAACAAAAAATTAGATATGAAAAAAGAAAAAGGGTTTTCTTTCCTGTTTTTTTTGATAAGAGAGGATCATCAATACCTAAAGGCTCACCATCACATTTTAACACAATCTCACCTTCACAGGAGATTAACGTTTTAAGTAGATTAGACAAATGAAAATGCTAGTAATGCAGAGACTGTACCCAAAAAAAAAAAAAAAAAAGTCAACTTAGGTTAAAAAGTTGATTAGTTTTACAAACCTCGAACACGTCAAAACTAAAGAAAATGCCTTGAAACTCATAATTTCACATCAAATGTTGAGACAATAAAGTCAGAAACCATGCACAATGGTAAATGATTGAAAACCTATCAATAGATAATAACAATAAGGAAAAAGCTGAACAAAAACTACGCAGCACGGAAATACCTGATCATCGCCTCTTGCCGTTTCATGGAATAGGGGCCAAGTCGCTACTTTATTTTCAATTTTGTTCATTGCCATCAACCAAAAATTTACAGCTAAGTTTCTCAACCTAGAGCACAGCAGCATCAGCATCAACAACAGTCAAGCCCCAATCCCAAACTAGTTAGGATCGGCTATATGAATCCCTCTGAGCCATTCACAGCAATCATACATCGAATCCCCCTCAATATCAAGATTCAAGAGATCTTAAATCCTTCGATACCACTTCCATCTATGTTGGCTTGGTTTATTAACCTAGAATAATTAGAAACAAATGCTCCATACGAACTTGGCAACAATACCAAGCAGCAAAATTCATGAAAAAATCTGTCAGAAAACCCTCTTTTTTCAGTCATTTATCAAAGAATCAACTGATCAGGAGCTCATCCCTGCCACAAGCTTACAAATAAATTTTATGCAAAATTAATTTTGCACTATACAAACAAAGAATCAAACTAATATGTCAAAAAGCCCTTCGTTATTTTCTTTCAGGGATGTGTAATATGCTTCCAGATCTCATTATATTATCAAGGTACAATATATACAATTATATCTTACAGCATGACAGATTGAGGTTTGAAATCAGAAACTAGATGAAGCAAGAACATCTTAAGCTCTACGTTTACTTAATCGCCATGAATTAGGTTCATTATATCTATCATAGAGAGGTTCAATACGTTCATGACGCTTTCGATTGCTCATTTTTGTCGCATCTGCAGCTTTAAAGAATGTAGGTGCTAATTCTATGAGCCATTTGGGATCTATAACAGTTACCTCACGCATGTACTCCTTGGTGGTCATTACCAGCTCATTGTAGATGACCCAGTCTGGTTGTCTCCCGTAAAGAACACTGCTTGGGTGGATATAAACTGGCTGGTTCTCAACTAAGGTTCTGTAACCCTCCTGCGGGTCCTTTCTGGCTGCATGGAAGAAGAATCCAGCTGTAATAGCTTTCCTTATCTTTAAGAAATTCTTCCCAGCACAGACAACATCCAATTTATACCTGAAATCCAACAATAGTCATTGAGTTAGGACCAGCGGACAAAATATTGGTACTTCAAGCAGTGCAGTGTTAGATCCATAACCATCATTAATTTCCTTATTTTGAACATCTATCAACTAAAACAACAGAATTAAAAAAATAACAGCATCCAAAAAGATGTAACATGCAAAATAACTAATGCAATACAGTTGCAGTTACACTATAAGAAACAGCAAGTCCATAATAGCATCCATTGACTCCAAATTTAGCAAATAAAACAAAGGGATTGAATGGGAAAAGTTGATCCTCAAAGGCAGTATTTGTCAATAACAACCAACACACTAGCTTAAACATCCATGGAACATGACCTGGAACAAATCTTAGCAACATTTACCTAAAAATATATGCTCGTATATGATTAATTTGTACCAATGAAAGCACTGACACAATTCAAGGGGTGACTGACAAATATGCAGCATGTCAAAATATCTGGAGAGCAATTAAATGTATAGCGTATATGCATCAAACATTAGCAATCAAATGAGCCTTGGGTCAAGTAACTGGTAGTTAATAACTTTCTGCCCGGCCGCATGCATCCTCATGGACATGTGTAGGAAGTAAGCATATCCATTTAACTAATGACCAAAAGCAAAGACATAAAAAGAATATAATCCTAGTCTACTAAATTTAGAAAATAGGCAGAAAATGTCATAAATATTAGCACAAATACAACAAAAATATGCAACGACAAGAATTTCGTCCTGAAGTGCTCAATAATAATCATATCAGCAACATTCTACATCACTAAACAATAAGCACATGAGTCAATTATCATTCTTCTCAATACGGATGCAGGTAATCATGATCATCAATTAAGAAAGTATTGTATGAGGATTATAAAATATCATTATTGAAGACTTTAGATTAAGAAATAGAAGTTGCAGAACATACTTATCCATGATGCTGAGAAGCTGTTTTCTGACGTCTTGTGCCCTTCTCAAGGACTGAGATTGAATGAAGTTCTCAAAACACCAAGGTCCTGAAAAGTTCTTGGCTTTCCAAGCCTCATACACAGCAAGTAAGGTCAAATGGTCTCCCTCAGGCTGGAAAAACTTGGCCCTCTTCTGATCTGCCTGGGCTTGTTTTTCTCTAGGTCTATGAAAAATGTTACCAGTTTCGATCATGGCAATGGTAGTCAAAATCTCATCACCGCACCCAAGGTCTACACTAGCCAGCAACATCTTAGACAATGGTGGATCCAGAGGAAACTCTGCCATTATGCGCCCCAGTTTGGTCAGAAGTCCCTCCTCATCCAGAGCTCCAAGGCTGTACAACTGTTCCATTGCAGAATCAAGGGCCTCACGTGATGGGGGATCCATAAAATCAAAGGACCATAAATCAGAAATTCCCATAGCCTTCATTGTGAGTGTAGTCAATCCAAGATTAATTCTTTGGATTTCAGGAACGCTGGTGGGAGACATCTCGTTCCTATAAGCAGTTTCGGTGTAGAGACGATAACATTTCCCAGGACCAGTACGCCCAGCACGTCCAGCACGTTGCTTGGCAGAAGCTTGTGAAATCGGGGTTATGACTAGAGAATCCATTCGTTGCTTCGGATTATATACATTCTGCTTTGCAAAGCCGGGATCGATAACATAAAATATTCCATCAATTGTTAAAGAAGCCTCAGCAATATTCGTTGCCACAACCACCTTCCTTTTCCCAGGAGGGGCAGGTTCAAAAATCCTTGACTGCATTTCACTGGGAAGGGCACTATAAACAGGCAATATAATCAATTCTGGAACATTTTTACCTAGCCCTTTCATCCTCTCATAAAGAGACTGACATGCAAAATCAATCTCCTCCTGACCTGTCAAGAATAGAAGGATGTCACCTTCAGGTTCTGTCAAGTGGATTTGCAAGACCGTAATCAGAGCTGCATCTAAGTAGTCACTTTCTGGCTGTTTCGTGTACAATATCTCTACAGGAAAAGTTCTTCCCGGAATTGTGAATATCATACAATTGGAGAAATATCCTGAAAATTTCTCTGCATCAAGTGTGGCTGATGTGACAATCAAGCGAAGATCAGGCCTCCTCTCCACAAGTTGCTTAAGTAACCCAAAAAGGATATCAGTGCTTAATGTCCTCTCATGAGCTTCATCGAGCATTATCACTGAGTACTGAGAAAGATTCTCATCAATGGAAATCTCCATGAGTAGCATACCATCTGTCATATACTTGATCACAGTATCTGGTCCAGTACAATCCTCAAAACGAATGGCATACCCAACTTCTGCACCTAAACGACAACCAAATTCTTCTGCCACCCTCTTGGCAACAGACGATGCAGCCACCCTACGAGGTTGAGTACATCCAATCTTACCCTTGGTAGTATAACCTGCCTCGGCAAGATACTGTGTTAGCTGAGTAGTCTTTCCTGAACCTGTCTCACCAATAACCACCAAAACCCGATTCTCATGGATGGCCTCAATTAATTCTTTTTTCAATCTGTAGATTGGCAAGCTCTGCCTCTGCTCCAGGATGGATAACTTTGACCTCTGCCCAAATGTCAAGGCTTTCCCAAACGCATCCTTCTTCCATTCAGGCATGTCATAAGCAGATAAGCCAACCCCGCGCAGCTCCTGAGCAAGATGCCTCTCACCAGTCTCAGGCATTGGATCTTCCCAAGGACGATTGAGATCCTTTGGTATTGAATCAAGCATAGTCCTCTGCCGCTGTTCCCTCACTTCTCTCCTTTCCTTTATAAATGCAGATTGAAGCGCAGCTGCACGACTCAAAGACCCTTCTGGATTCTTAAAAATCTTCACTGGCGACAAATCAACAGAAGTTTTGGTCTTCCCTCGTAAGAAAGCAGGCTCAAGCTCATTCAACTCAATCTCTAGCTCTTCCTCGGCACTCTCGTCTCCTTCCTCATCAGATATAGTAGGATACTCTCCGACACTCAAAACCCCAGAAGCAATCAACTGTTTTGCTTCCCACTTCTCTGGAGATGACCTTTTTCGTGCCGGACCAGCATCCTCCTCCTCTTCCACAATCCTAATCCCTGAAAGCCCTATCCTAGTCCCCGGACCCCCCTTAAAAGAAGCCCTGCTCCTAAAATCACCACCATCCCTCTTCTTCAATCCAAGCAAATCCTTGCCACTATTCTGATCAACATCCTTCATCGAAAGACTCAACTTTTGCCCCGAAACTGATATGACTTTAACATGAACCTCCTGATCCTTTTTTACAAAATCCTTGGCATTCCCAACCCAAGTATCCGCAATTTGTGAAACATGAACCAAACCCTCCTTCTTTCCTCTAAATCCATTCAATTGCACAAAACAACCAGATTCCGTCACTCTTGACACTCTCCCTTCATAAACTTTATACAATTTCACCTGCTCCTCCTCCTTACTATTTCCTTCTCTATCTCTTGTATTTTTCAATTCTTTATTATTATCATCATCAGCAAGAATAGAAAGTGGTTTAGATTTCGAAAATTTACCCGATTGCTGCCTCGGATCAAAATCGCTATCTTTTTTCTTGTTAAGTGGAAAAATAGCGTGAATGGTGGTCAAAAGAGAGCGGACAAGATAGTCGGGCAATTCGGCTCCGTTTTGCTTCAGTTTGGAGTCGAATTCAGCAACAGAATCGGAATTTTGACCCAGGTGGGTGAGGAACTCAGCTAAAACCTTGTCTCCAGAGCCTGTATGAGTTTCGAGTTCTGTGCAAACTTTGGAGATTAAGGACAAGTACTCTAACTTTTTGAGACCTTCTGCTGTTGTGGCCATTAGCAATGGAAAGTCAGATTGTAGGGAGAGAGATAGATTTAGGGTCCTTGATATATATGTGGAGAAGAAGAAAAAGAAAGCGAAGAAGAAAAGAGAGCGAGAGACAGAGAGAGTAGAAGGTTGTGGTTTTACGTGAGTGAGTAAGTCCATGGCCGCCAATAACGAACAACGTAAAAGTAAGAATAAGCTTGAGTCTAAGGTAGGGAAAGCTACTTTATTCCTTGCCCAACCTGCTAAAGAATTTGTTGACTTTTCCTCAAAGCTGGGACAATCAGGACATACAAAAAAAAAAAAAACACAGCCAAGTTGTTGCGAGCGGTTGTCTTGACAATATATATATATTCAAATTTTAGATTCGTATTTATTAAGAAAAATTAAATCTTATTATTTTCATTTTAAACACAATTAGTTCTATCCTTATCCTTAATAGAATAAAAATATCTGAAAAAAAGAAGCCATCTTATCGTCAGAGGATTCAAAAATCAATGCAGCAAAGTAACCAAAAGATCTAATGGTTCAAACCAGAAACTAAAGGTCAAAGAAATGGTTCCAAACACACCAGGAAAACGAAGATCAACAGCAGAACTCGTGAAACCAAAAATCTGCAACTAGAAGCTGGGATAAAAACCATTACTTAGTAGCAGCAGCAGCTGCAGTTTAGCGACGGTGTCAGAGATCGAAGCAGATACGAAAATGGCAGCTAGGGAAAAGCAGATAAATCAAGAGAAGCAGACCTCCAAAAAGACATCAGATTATGGCTCGAATAGAGACTCACCACTGAGGAGAATAAGGAGTTTGCAGCCTTCACAAATATATGTTCTGGAATATGAAGAGCTAAAAATGCCCCAAAAGTTTCGCAAAATTAAAGTGCACCGAACAATCAGAACCGTGGCAGATGATTGAGCTTGGCCTTCTAAGTAACTTCTTTAGTTAACATCCTGAAATCCGCAACTCCCCCTCCTTTCATTCTCAACTAAAAAAAGTTTGGGATCTTGTAATGTGTTGCCCCATATCCCATATAGGTCGGTTATGAGGAATTTGAATCAGATAAAAGAATGGCTAATAGATCTACGAGCAATGAAGAATTTTTTTGAACAGTATGCCCAACTTTGTTGAACTCGTAGGTTCAGAGGCTGTCTACTGCGCACCAGGCACCTCCTCTCGGGCCGGGAGTGTTACATGCAATCAAAACAATGAACACCTACTCACAGAGATTATTCATGAAGACAATCCCTTTAGCATCTAATTCGTCAGTGCAATTCTTGAATCTTCGATCTCCAACCTTCTAAAATAATACCTAGACGACGACATCAGTTGCGTATATAAAGAGATAAAGCAGCGGTGTGATGACAGCAAAAATTGTAGCAGCATGGGAATATAGGGGCTGCAGCCTGCAGGCATACCTCAGAGACCGCAAAGATAATGGATTTTCATCAAGCAGCACTATAATTCAGACTGCTGTTGCAAAAAAAAAAAAAAAAAAAAAAAAAAGAAAAAGAGGAAAAAATACAGCTTCTAAGAGGATTGAGGACTTCAACTCTGTAGTTCTCTGCAATTTCAACATGTTCAATAAAAGAGGCAGAACATTATACTTACGGCACTAAAACCATTAAAAAATATCCCATTAACATTCTACAAATATTCTATGATTTGGAATCATCCAAGTGAGTCATCAGCTGGATCTCCATTTTCTCAAGCACTGCGAAACATGCCAAAACAGAAACCCTTTGCAATAAGCTATGTAGTATTTTCTAGATGGATTATATCAAATATTAGTTCTCTAGCTTCGAATTTCTTTAATAGTTTCTGTCAATTTCTTCGCATCATGTGGGACACAAAATTCCAGGTTAGTTTATGCAATCTAAATATAATAATTATGGGAATGAAAAATAAAGGAGATGATCGCTAGATGGAAGTCTTAATCACTACCTCACACTCACAGTCCATTAATGTACAACCATAAGAAAGCTCAGAAGAAGCTCCATGAGTCCTTTGGTTTTGTAGGCTGCAGCGAGCGGATGCTAGAGCTTCTGCTCCATTTTCACAAAGCTCAAAGGTTTCACCAAGCCGTGCGTTGGAGGTATTTCATGGTGAGTTTCCTTCCCACTTTATCATCATCAACTACCAAGATTTTTATCCCACTCAAGGTCCGTTACTGCTTAGCTCAATTCTTCTTGTATCTCATAAGAACATGCTGGTTTGCGCGTGACAGGAATCAGAGTTAACAAAGATATATTCTTCTTGTATTTCTCACTGCTAGCTTGAGCTCCCTTCTGCTTGCTGAAGTGAGTGTCTATAAGGCGGAGGAATTACTAATTTTTAGTTGTGCAATTAAATTGTCGCGAAGATGATGAAACAAGGTCTAGAAATATTCTTCACTTGATCTGTGCCTTCTTTCTTTAGTTTGCAGAAGCTTCGTGATGCAAGGTACCCTCAAATTCTGGTACAAGGCTTATTACCTGATACAATCAAGAGCCATGAAATGGTTGTAGCAAAATCATGTCATCACTTTGATCAATCTCGTCTTCTCTAAAGCTTTTAATAAAACTGAAACCACGAGAAGTTGGTTTATCTAACCAAACAACCTTGCAAGGGATTCTAAATCAGGCCTCTTCTAAATTCAACCTTGGAATGGTCCAGCATTAGAAGCCTGATCACAAGCACTACAAAGCTTGATACTCCACTTAAAAGAACTATTTCTATAAGAAGGTTGTTTTTGGCTGTCCCATCCATGTAACTCAACGACAGATTCTTCGATATATATACAGCAAGAATTATCGCTCCTCACATCCATATTTGATTTCCCTGGAGAACTGTGAGGCGACTTTCAGCTTGGGGTCTGTCCTCATTAATGCAGAATGAATATGTTTCCATTGGTTCAGAACTGATACTTTTACACCCAAGTTTTCGGTAAACCTTTCTGTGAACTGCTTCTCCTCTCTTCATTCTGGATCAAGAGGATCCACGAGACCTCTCAAACTTAGGACTACAATTATGTATAGACAGCAGAGGAGCTGGCGAGCAAATGATGCAGCCAGGAGCAGGAGTTCTAATTGTCAGCCCTAAAAAAAATTGATGAATGCTATCAGCCTTGGAATCACCTTCCCTCTCAGAGCCACCTGTTGTTAGAGCCTGATTCTTTGGTCTGGAGAGGACAACCTCGAACTTGAAGCAAGTACCCTTTTTAACATTCTCTTGATGGAAATTTTCTATTTATCCGCCCAGCAAACGTGTCTATGTATCATCCACCTCTAATACAAACTCTATGGAACTTGGATTCTGCTTCATAGCATTTATGGCTTCTGGCTCACTAAATTCTTCTTACTCTTCTTGTGAAAAAACTATGAGAATTAATGTTTAAACAAACTGTTACGATCCGAAGCAGTTATCTGTCTCTAAACTGGATTCTTGGGTCGACCATGCTCGAACCGACACGTGCCCTTCAGAAGTACACTATAACTGCATCACCCGAGAAAAGGGTAAAACTGTATGGCATTATTCTATACATTATATAACAAAGCTTATAAAAAATATATAATCTACCAATAAATATAATCATCTAAAAAAGTATAAATCATTTTTTATATTCGTTGTAAGAAATAATTTAGAGATTTCTAATCATAAATAAATATTTTACAGGTCTTAGAAAAATATGTATAATATATAATTTTTATCATAGTCATATCTCTTATTTATAAGTTATTTTCTATCTACAATCCAATTAAATCTAAATATATTCATATTAAAAAATATTATATAATGACAGTGATGCTTCAATAAATATATTTCAGTTCATAATAGTTAAATATCCACACTATATCTGCGATCAAACAATCGTTATATACGCAAGGTTAGCGATTGGTATGGAGTGATACGAGTAGAACTTTTGTTTCTCAAAATTAATGTAAATGGAATCTATATATTAAGCAAACTTGTTTGATTTATATATATTTATTAATAAAATAATTTATAATATTAGTATAAAAATTTGTATTTGAATAATTAAGAGGTTCTTTCAAAACATTGATTAAATTATTTTATTTAAAAATACAGATTTTAGAACATGAAAAAAATAAATAATAAATAATTGGTGTTATATGTGCGGATACAATTAATTTCTAAGAAAATTACTATATATGCATCGTATTTAGTAAATTCAAAGCATATAGAATAAATAAATAAAATATACAAAAAAACCATTGAAATCGCATGAAATATATTAAAGTGAATAAATTTAAATAAAAACTATTATAAAATTGATTTCGATTAATTGTGATTATATATATATAAAAACCAAATAAAACCCGTGACCCATTGAAATCGCATGAAATATATCAAAGTGAATATATTTAAATAAAAACTATTATAAAATTAGTTTCGATAAATTCTAATTATATATATATATAAACAAATAAAACTCCGTGAATTTTTTAACTAATTATTAATTATTTTTAAAAAATTGAGTCAAATTATCTTTTTAACTAATTATTTTTTTTAAAAAAATTAAGTCAAGTTTTCTACAACGCACTATTAGCTCTCTCTCTCTCTCTCTCTCTCATCGAATCTATATATACAACTACGTTACTCTCATTTAAAAATCATAAAAACAATCAATCGTATAATTATAATAATATATTTTAAAAAATAAAACAATCACGTTCTTAAATTTTATTTCAAAATCAATATATTAAAAAAATCAAATTTATAAACAAATAAAACTATAAAAAATTAATTTGATGAGAATTTTAATAAGAAACAAACAATTGAAGAAATAAATTTTAAATAATAAAAATAATATAATCTAATATATATGTTCAAAATAAAAATTTTAAAAAATATCATATATATTCTATTACGATCAAATTTTACGTAAAACTAAAAAAATGATTTTTTAAATATTTTTATACCTAATTTCATAATAAAAAATATAAAAATAAATTATTGGAAGAAAAAAAAAAGACAAATGAGACTACTTGTGTAGGCACTGTCCGAGCTTGCTATCGAGTCCAACCGAGCCTCGCTTCTTCGATAACCCAACCCTTTAAAAAAGGATAAAAAAAGAAATGCCATAGTAAATAAAACATAATAACCCCAAATCTTTTAATTTTTTTAGTAATAATATATATTATGAAAAACATAGATAAACATAAAACTTGTAAGTTAAGTATATAATTTATTTGAGGCATGTAAATGTCACGACTCGAACTGGCGAGTCGCGACCAGGCACGTAGCCGGGGTGGGGTGACCCACCACAAGCTACGTAAGCCTTAATCCTTTCTCTATTTCCTACAAAAATTTCGGCGAGCATTTCCCCTATAATTGGACGATCCCAAAAATAATATATCCTACATAAAAATCACAATAGATATACACTTCCAAATCATCGTCACTAATTCTCAATCATCCTCAAGTCCCTCCATTGGACATCCACACTTCCTCATAAATCTCGGTATTTACTAAATTGACAAAAATACACATAATCCAATATTTAACATAACTAAATTTATAAATCACCATTTAACCATCCAAATATAAAATATAGAGACCCTTAACTAGTTATCCCCGGATTTGGTGATGCTACCAATGGAGCAACTAAGTGAAATAAAATACACAATGACTAATTACAATTCCAAAATGGACAATAAATACAAATTTATAACAACCATGTCCTATACCGGGAGGAAGCAAAATAATATCCGGGTAGTATCTTCAAATTCGGAAAATCTATCGTCCTCCTTCTATGATCTAGCCTCTTATTATCTATAAAATATTTGAGGTTGGGGGGTGAGTTTTCAAAACTCGGTAAGCATAACACATATTATAAATCGCTATACATACAATTATATCAATGCACCTATCATACATAATTTGCAACCAAGCAAGTAATCAATAACGTTTTCTTT